CACTCACACCTTCAAGATTGTTCTCTTGTCTTTATTTTAAAATATCATTCGCATCTTTTACATTGATGAGCACATGATAAGTAAAATAAACCCGTTTACTAATGGTATATTGGACGAAAACATGTTGTAATTAGGACTTTTCATTGTAGTTACCAAAAAAAGTTGACTTTTCAAAGAGACATAATAGAAAACCGAGAGTCGTCTAATGTGTCGAGGGTTATACGAAGAAATCTTATACATCATTAATATAGATACTCATGATGCTCTCATATCACTCCATCTGTGTCCGTTTCACACAAAACATGAGTCTATCTGTGAGAGAAGAATGAATAGAGGATAGAACGAGTAGATAGCTATCATCGGTCATGAGGTCAGAATGTTTTGTCGCATATTGACTGACGGACTTGACCTCATTAGGCCAATAGAAATGAAGAAAAGTATGCCCTTATTATTGGCACACCATCCAATAGAATTAAATAATGCTCTTCTTCATCAACAGATTTTTTTATTCTCTAGTATTCTTATTCACAATTACTTGAACAATCGGTTATATACTTTCATTTCACATAAAAATGTCTGTTTTTTCTACTTCTTTTTTGTGTTTATTACTATTATTATTTACCTGTATTAAAAGTCAAAAATTACTATACGATTCAACATGTGATTGTACTTCAATAACGTCGAATGGTAATGTTTGTCTTCAATATACTTGTGTAATTATATAACGTAAACAAACATGCTTTCCTGGTCGAAGTACTGTTGTAACTGAAAATGGTTTAATGAAATCTTTATCAAATATAGAAATTGGGGAACATGTACTCGTTATTGATAAAGAAAATAAATTAATTTATGAATCTATTGAAAGTTTTATTCATTTTAAACGAAATGGTTCATTTAATTTTTTATTAATAAATATAAAAATTGATGATCATAGAAATATGACAACATCTTTATTTATATTATCTAATCATTTAATATTCTTAGCAAATGATACAGAATTATTCATTGGCTATTAAAATTAGTTGAAAGATTGGTTCAATGGTGTATTTCAGATATTTGATTTCTGATCTTTTGAAATAAACTTTCTAAAACATTTCAATAGAAGTCAATCATTTTTAATTAAGTAAGGGGTGTGAATGGTGATCTTTTATGAGATCTACATCTACATTCCAATTCTTGAACGAATAAAAATGTATATGTCTAAATATTGTTTTTCATATATTCTATTAAATATTCCAAAACATTAGATCCGCATCGAGCTTGAGGGTGTGGGTGTGTGGGTGGGTGTGGGTGGGCGTGGGCGGGTGTGGGTGTGCGTGTGCGTGTGGGTGAGGGTGGGGTGTGTGGATGTGGGTGTGCAGGTGTGGGTCTGGGGGTGGGTGTAGTGTATATGTTGCGTTTTCCCACCTACACCCACACCCACGCACTCCCACACCCACACCCTCTCTTTTGAATTGATAATAGTGAGACGTGTTTTGCATCATATTTTAACAATATTAGGATATGGTCTATTACCAACAGCTATGTGTTACGATTGTGCTTGTACATTGAAACTATTCGTGAAGAAACACTTTGGTTCAGATAATTTGAAGTCAACAGAATTCACAGAATTTTTAACATCACTAACCATGGCAATTGATCGATTCCATGTGAAAAATCATAAGAGACATATGTGTAAAACAGTTATGAGACCTGATGATCCATCTCATAATGAGATCTATAAGTCAATTAATACACAAGTTGCTGAACAAATGTTTGTCTATATGTCAAAATTCAAAAACTCATTTAGTGGATATAATTATCGTAAGTTCACGATTTTTTTTACAATTTTATTTCACCTGAAAAATTGTATGACAGCCGGTATAAGATCATTTGAACAAGTAGTATGACAATTTCTTCAATCTACGCTTCGTTATTTTATTTAGTTTTGTTGAGATCGCTTTTTATCATATGCGTTTTATATAGTTCTAGTCGTTTTGAATTTCTCTATAAACATACGATTCAAATGACTGCACATATAAACATTTTGCGAAAGAATTTGTGTGTTATTTAAAATTTATCGAATCCGAGAAGGATGATAGTAAATATCTGATATCTGGTCATCTAGTTCGTTTAGCCGTGTGTATGACTAGATATCTGATATCTGATCATCTAGTTCGTTTAGCGGTATATATAACTAAATATCTGATATTGTGAATCAATTTGAGAAGAATGGTGTTGCTTTTCCTATAACATCAAAAATTTTCCAACATCTCAACATTACTAAATAGTTAATTAGAATTTCAAGTTTTGAAAATTTTAACAGTTTGAAATTTTGAAAATTTTGACACTCAGTTCTTCAAACTGGTGACAGTTTGAGATTTGCCACTCCATATTTCGCGACGGGTGTCCCATATATGGGACGGTGACATTTTTCCTTAGATACAGGTATCAAATTGTACTCGAAGTGCAATTTGATACTTGTATCTAAAGAGCTCTTTCTATTATAGAGAGAAAGCCTGGAGACGTTAGAATTTTTCCAGAAGAGACGCACTTTTAGTGTAAAACTTCCATATCTTAGGAAAAATGTCACCGCCCCATATATGGGACACCCAGCGCGAAAGAGTTAAAGGCACTGATTAAACTAGCTTGTAAAAAATAATTTCAGGAATTTTTGATCAAGTTTTAAGAAATTTATATCTCGAAGAGACTTTAGTGGGAAAATTTCGAAATTTTTTTTTGTACAAATTAGTCTAATCGGTATTTTTATATGGGCAAAGTTTCCGATCAATATTCAAAAGTATTATTTCGCTTGAAAACTAAAGTCCTATAGGAAAAATTCGATATCTCAGTAACAAAAGCCTCGAATCACTCTAGAATATTTACTTACTCATTAAACTTTATTGATTGAATATAGTTCCTACTTAAAAGCGATTTATCATTTAGAAACATTCTTTCGTAAGAAAAATATGTTTGTGTCAGGCGATATGTAACTACACGATTCAGTTGTGTTATGTCAAAACCTAATACACAAATATTTACTTCAGTAGTACCACTCACATACGTCTCAAGTATAGTCATTGAAACCAGTGCAAATATAATAAAATAAATATAAGAACAATTTTATTTTACTATCAGTAGGAAGTGAATCAAATATTGTATTAAATTACAATGCTCTTCTTCTTAACTAATTATATAGACTAGTAATATATGATTTTTGTATTATCAAAGAAAAGAAAATTATTTGTTTTATTTACTTATTGACATGGCCAAATATTTCATACATGATTTTTCAAGAATCTAAGTTATTTTCAAGTGTTGTTCTCCTTGGAAATTTACACATTCATATCATGATTCATACGAAAATCGATCATTTATTTTTTTTCGAATAATAACAAAATAAATTTGATTATCATGGATTATTGATTACAATAATCGCTGAAATATGTTATATAAAAAAACCAAAAGAACGCAAAATAATATTTACGTGTATTGTATCAATCGATAAATGTAACTTGATATAATACAATAAAAGTAATGGGAAAAAAGAAATATTACATTCTATTTTTAATCAACTATAAAGAATTACTATCTTGCAATGTTGCGCTATATTTGTAATTGATTTTGATTGTTTAAACATATTCAAACTATCTTGGTAATGGGAAGTAGCATAACAATAGACATGTTCATCTATAGTTATCGATTAAAATTTTCTACTGATAGAGTATGACATCGTGCATTCTACCATATTCTAGAATGGAGATATAAAGAAAAAAATTTTTACAATACTTGTACCACATGTGATATGATGATCGAAGGGTGTAGATATGGTTTTTGAGTGCGGGGTGTCAGTGCTACTGTTAGGAAGGTCGGCATCCACATTCTTAAATACGGAGTCTTTTTAAAATAATGATTGAGCTTTTCAAGCTTTTTATTGAGCAAAGCTTAAATAAAACTTGATTATTTTTTTTCTGTAATCTTTTATTGAATATTCAATTTTTCAATACAATAAATGATTCATAAAGATCTAAATAATTATTGAATATAACATGTAATGAACAAATTATTAATGAAATCATCGATGATTTATTTTTATGTCGTCTTATTAAATTTGTCGATCAAAAGCAAAGCAGAAGCATGCCTATATACAATATCAAATCTTTCCTATTTCTAACATGCATTTAAAAGAAAAGAGAGAAAGACAAATATACTGATATGCACTTGGATGGTTTCTCTAAGACGTACTCGCTGACTTATTTTGATTAATTTTAAAATAATATGTGTTTTAAGATTATACATTTTACACATGTGTGTTTCTTTTGTATTTTATCCTTCTGTTAATTTAGACTGATTGAAGATTTTTTTTTATTTTGATTGTCATAAATATTTTAAAGATTTATCTTCAATTATATCTTCACATGTATACAAAAGTATCTTGGTTATAACAAACAAAAATGAGATGTAAAATATATATGAAAATTTGCTTGTAATATAAACGATATTGATCATTCTAAGATGAACCAGAATTTTGTCCATTATTGCTATTGCTCGTGTAGATAAGACCCGTTGTATTGTCGCCCCCACAATTACCACTGGCAATGATTTCAGCTGCCATATCTAAATAATAAAAATTATTAAATTAAATGAATATAAGATTTAACTTTAACTTACTGTCATAAGTTGATGGATCGAACATGACAATTATTATGAAACGATTTTACTTATTTCATATTGTTGCTTTTATACCAAACTATTTCATAATAAGTTGGAAAATGAATGCTAAGATTGCATAATTTCTGATCCCATGCATTGACGTCATTATGGCAACGTGGATCATGACAGCAAGAATGACTAAGAACGAGGAACACAAACCACTAACGCGTTATTCTTTCGTGGATTTGGATGTTTCCAATAGTTTTTATTTTAACAACGATGGGTGTGGGTGCGGATGTGAGTGCTAGGAAGAGAATGATATCTACATCCACATCCGTAATTATACTCCCACGCACATCCTAACAGAACATCGTAGAAAGGCGCGGTTTTTTTAATGAGCACAACAGTCTAGTCTATCGTTTGCAATATTTAGGGATCAAAGTCCAGCTCTCTAATACCCTCAATTTTCGATTTTGTTCGAAAAAAGTCCTCAAAATCCCATGAAGACACGTTTGAAAATTTTCGTTTCTAGCACGCAATTTACTTGCCATCATACCGGGCTATCGAACAAAAACAACTGCAGGTCTCTAACTGTTATCATTATGAAGATATTCGATCAACACGGACTGTCTCTTTTAATTTGAAATGGATAGTAGTTTTCTACTAAATTTTATACAACATAATTTTTTTCTTTTGAAAAGAATATTAAATATTTACTTTATAATTAACCCTTTGGATTCGGGATTATTTTGATATAGTAAAAAGAACGCGAGTAGATTGATCGGCAAATCAACCCTATAATAATTTTTGGATACAAAATCCCAACATTATTATACCAAACGAAAGAGCTCGATGAGTTGAGCATTTTTTGTGATGGAACTTGATCTTTTAAATGAAACCATGAAGGGTTCTCAGTCACCTAACGTGTAAAATTTCAGTCCTTTTAGTTACCGTTGCCACGCTCAGAACTCTCCATAGTTTCATTTCAAAGGTCAAGTTTCGTCACAAAAAAATATTCAACTCATCGAGCTCTTTTGTTTGGTATAAGATAGCTCGGGTTTCGAATAGAAAAAAATTGTATAGGTCTGATTTGCCTATCAACTCTCCCTCGTCTTTTTTACTACATGAAAAATAATCCTGGACATAAAGGGTAAAATGATGATGATGAAGCTCATTATATATTTTAGAGAATTAAAAAAAGTTTGAATTGTTCAATTTTTTAACAAAATAATAAGAAAGCATGTACCACTTTCATCAGAAAAAATGCTTGAAAAAAAATAAAACAGAAATTACTATAATGATAAATCGTAAAACATATATCAGGAAGCAAATAAGACTCAAGAAATCAGTGACGAAATAATATAAGTAACAATTACCGAATTCA